AAAATTAATGATTTTTTTATTTAATATTAAGATAAAATACAAAGTTAAAAAAATTTCAAAAATATATGACTCATACTATATATATATATATTTATTTATTTATTTATTTTTTGAAAAAAACAAATAGTTATTACACTTTATTATACAATATTTATTATATTTTTATTTATGAAACAAGGTACAATATCAATAGCATGACATATGTTTTTTTTGCTTGGAAAAGTTTAATATAAGGCTCTTATAAGATATTCATTCTCTATGCTCTTTTAACATTATTCAAGAAATTAAAAAAAACAAAAATTCAAAAATCTATATTGTTATTTTAAATAGTATCTAGCTACCTAAAGATAAATAAATATCTAATCATATAAAAACACTGCAACCAATCTATATAGATTAGTTTTTAGGTTATAATTAAGATTGGCATATCTACTGTTAATATATTTAATAAACCTTAAAATTAAATAGATTAATAGATAAAAATAACAAGAAATAATTTAATTTAGAAGAAAATAGCCTTAGTTATGATATACTAGTATTGATAAGATAAAAGAATTGGATAAAGTTTATTTTCAAGACAAAAAGTACAGTAATTTAGTTATGAGTTCAAGATAGTTTTTATTAGAGAGAGTTGAAAAAAGTTGGAAAATTTCTTGGGAAGTTGAGAAAAACAATTGTCTTATTTATATATATTTAAAACATATAAAACTAAAAAGTAAATAAGTAACAAGATATACTAATTTAATTAGATATATCTAATATTCTTGATTATAGTTCTGAAAATTGAAATCAAACAAATTGCGAGAAATCGTATAAGGTTTGAAATAATATTAAAAATAATAGTGGAATATACTTCACTTATTAAATTTAATATAAACTTGAGAATTGAATATAGAGTTGAAGAGAATTGTTAGGATTTTTATGCTTGATCACATTACTTAAGTTGCTTAGACTGTTCTGATCAATCAGGTTGATCAAACTAACCCAACATATCAGTTATATTTGGCAGAAATATCATATTTACTTGATATACTATATATACTAAATAACTAATAATAGAAATAATAAAATAATATACAGTAATACTATAAAATAATAATTTAAAAATAGTACTATTAATACTTATAACATTATTTTTCAAATATAACTTGATGTATGGTAAGCAGAGTAATATTGGAAGTAGTGGAAAGAAAATATCTTTTTATATAAAGATCCTACAATAATTTTATACAAGTTTGACTTCAAATCACAAAAAGACTTTGACATACCTATACTTTTAATGTAGTGGAAGTATCTTATAAATAGAGTTTATATTGATTTTTTTAATAATACTGAAATCTAATTTTGTACAATGAACCTATATTGTTTAAAAGATAAGCAAAGAACTTTTTGTTGTTATTATTAGCTCATTTGTGAAGGTAACTAGAATTCCTGGTCATTACATATTATCTTATTAAATTTTTCAATTACTAGCATAACATTTATAACTAATTTAGCTTATTATTAGTTATATTAATATTGACTACCATTTTATTTTAAATATTGTAGAATATAACTTCTTGGATACTTTTAGATAATAATAGTTGTATAAAGATTTCTTGAATATATTTAGTCTAATTGCTGATCAGTAAACAATATTGTGTTTGATAATAATGACTATAGTATGTTGATCTTTTGAAGGAGATAAACCATCTGTTCTTTTTCTAAAAGACTATAAAAGAGAAAAAATTTTCAAAGTCCATATTTTAATAAAGGTTATTGCTTTTTAATATGATTCTTGAGAGAAAGGAGTCAACTGACCAGATGGATGATGTTATAGAGATGATGTTTTTAAAAGAAGAAGAAATCTAGAGAGAAAAAAAAAATCTGACTTTGGCAGTAAAAAAAGAGAAAAGAAAAAAGTAAGGATATAAAATATAAAAAAAATATATAGAAGAAAAATAAGAAAATAAGAAAGGAGGAATAAAAAGATATAGGAAAAGGGAAATAAAAAGAAGAGAAAAGGGAAAACAAGAGAAAAAAAAAATATGCAACTTAAAAATTCTCTAAAAAAAATTTTTCAAGCATAGAAAGGAAGTGAAAAAGAGTTTTTTTTTTTATATATTTTTTATTTTAACAAATTAAATAATTTAAATTGATAACAGAATTTTTATCTTTTAAATAAATTCTATCTAATATATGGAATTACTTTCCTAGTATAAGTCTACATATGTTGAATTAAATGTGATAGGCTATAATTAATTTACTTTTGTAAAGATTATTAATATATTGATATTAAATTATTATTTAAATAAAATCTTGCATTTAATGTCTATTTGCAAAAAAAAATAATAATAAATAAATAAAATAAACATATGTACTTGTTGGACTACAGGAAAAAAACTAAATTATAAGTTTAATAATTTAAGTTAATAATAATTTCATTTAATATGTAAACTTATTTATAAAATGTTAAATTTGTATAATTAAATATGTCAAATAATTTGAGTTATCGACCATAGATCAACATGTGATCTTTATATAAGGCTATATAATAAACACATCAAACATCAAAGTTTCTTGTTCTGTTTTAATAAACAGTTACCTTCAATATGTCAAGTGCACCATTATCCACGAAAATTCAAAGTTTCATTAATCACCCTGCAGGTACCCTCTTTAAATGATTCCGAGTTCTATTCTTAATTAATGACTTTCATTCTCTAATAACACACTTCACCATTAGGACCAAAAACCATCCATTTTTGGGCCCCAATGATGAAATGGGTCAGTATTTTTGTATGTAAAGCTAGCACATCATGTTCTAGAATACTTATTCCATTTCTTGAGGATTATAGGCTTTAGTCATTGCTGGTTTGAGTGATCTAAAACGCCCCGCGGAAAATTTGTCACTATCTCAAAATGTTGGTAAGAATTGTGAATTTCGACGATTTCTATTGGAATTGGTTAAATGGGGAAATTATTCTTATAATACGATTATCGTACCACTGTAAATTTAGCCCTTACGGCTACAGGTGTAATTTGGTCGAGATATTCAACACAAATTATACCTTATAATTGGGCATTGTTGTCTGTAAATTTGTTTGTAGCAGGGACAGGTTTTACCCAGTTATTTAGAATATTGAAGTAAGATCACAGTTTTATTTTATTTTCATTATCGTTAGCACGAATTCATTTGCATCTGTTTAATTTCAGTTATCGAAGAAACACTGGTGCACCAATTAATACCAATTCATAAGACATTTCTATATTGAAGATAGACATCTTCAAATTATATGTTGTCCCTATAAAACTTTTAATAAATATAGTCTGATGAATGATACAAAATTAGTGAATAATATTGATCTAGAATTTGTTCTTCCGTTGCATCGTAATAATTGTTGATATGAAAACCAAAAAAAGCTTGTGTGAAGCACTAATTTTGTTAAGTGATGTGCTAAATATTATTTAATCTTAGGAAAAGCCAGGGATTTTTAATGGCCAAGGAAGTTTTTTACTATTTCTTGTATTTGGAACTCTCGTGTTTTCTTGAGATTCTTCAGACCTAGAAAATCTGTCTAAAATTTGCTCAAAAGTGTCTGAAGAATTTTCTGGATCAGAGAAAAACCTCGACACGAAGGAATATTTCCACATTTTCTGTTTTTCAATACTCTTCTCTTCTAAAGCGGATTCAAACTTATCACGGATCGTAAAATCTCCATTTGTGTTACGAAGGTGTTGGCATAGTTGAATAGTTTCTTTGTCGTTTTTGTTACTCTCTGATAATATCCATTTCAATACTTTCGGACAGTAATGATTATATCTGTGAATATTATTAGACAAAGTGATTTCGTTGAGAAGATCATACCTAGAGGAATATATTTGTTTGTGAAATTCCGGAGGTAGAATCTTTCTAGTGGTGCCACCAACAAGCCAGGAAGTACGAACTTTAATAAATTCCACTTCAAAAGAAGAAAACTTATTCAGATCTGAATCTTCTTCCTCTTCGTCTTCAGCATCAATAATTTCTTCTTCCGGTACAACAGAATCCTTGATTTTACACTTTATAATCATGTCTTTGTCACCAAGATAGGTAACAATTTCTCCATCCTTGTCGGGGGTTTCCTCCAGATAATAACATTTTCTCACAGCTTCAATGTATTGGTCATGAACTTTACTGTTTGCGTATCGAGTAAGCTCATGAGCTGGTGGATCAGACGGTCGGTCAAAAGGACCTACAGAGAATTCATCATCATTGTTGTCCAAAGGATTCTCCAATGGACCTGTATTACCATTGTGTCTTTTTGTGTCGACTCCACACCATTCTCCAAATTCAACCTTTACTTGACGAAGTCTAGTTGGATTACAATATATGGGTTTGGCAGTAACTGTAGGTATAAAAGTAAAAATTCTCGAGTCCAAACCGAAACCAACACAATCAAGAGCAAATGAATATTTTGCTTCAACTGGAGTCTTTTGCGGTCCAATTCTAACAAACGCCTGGACATTGAAAAGAGATATATGTTGTTTAATGGCGTGCTCATAAATGGAATACCAACTTCTATTAACTCTTCTCAAAGAGAAAATGTCTTTGACTGGTAAATACGCAAGTATGTTTTGAACAACATCACTGGGAAGATACGGGGATAACATCTTTCTCTATTCACAAACTAAAATTTGTGGTGGCATTTTAATTAAAATTCACCGATTGCATTATCTGTTACGCATAAACGTGGCAAAACAATCCAATTGGATGATCAACTTATTTGAATTCACTCACACAAACTTGAAATCAAAACCATGACAAAGTATATTTCAAGAGGTTTGTATTAATCACAATTTCAAAGAATTCTTTGATCAATATTCCCTTTTTGACTTCACCTTTTCACGTAGACGGGACTGTACGTGAAAGTCGCACGGTCATTAGAGCCACCAAAGATTTTTTTTGGTCCAT